AAGGAAGGAAGGAAGGAAGGAAGAATTCTCCAATTCTTTGCTATTTCTATGGATCAGGCACACATGGACAGAAACACACAACAAACAGTGTATATTGTCGGTACTGTTTGCTGTTTGTTGCAAGGAGGCAATTTGATGGGAGGCAGAGGCAGATTTTTTCCCCCTTCTTTTCCTCCCCGAAAGCTAGGTGCTTATACTGTCCTCCCCGAAAGCTAGGTGCTTATACTGTCTTATACTTCGGAGCATCTTATACTCTGCAAAATACGGTAGTCTTAGCAATTGAAAACTCCCGTAGAAGCCCAGAGCAATAATTGCTCCTCCATTATCATTTTCATCATCAGCTAAGCAACATAATTTGTTTAATTCCTCTGGCATCCCTTGTTTTGTCTGTCACCTGGGGGGAAAAAAACAAGACCAGGCAGAGTCGAGTTTTTGCAATGTCTCTTACGCCCTCGGGGCACGGTTGAAAATTTAAATGATTATCTCCCATCTATCCGTCCCTCCCTCCTTCCCATTTCTTGTTCCTGTTTTTTATTTTTTTGGCTGGGAATTTCTCCAAATACCTGCAGGCAAATGACTTTATCTCCCGGCCGAGCCGAACTGGCTAAGGAGTAATCCCCATCCGACAACGTTTGCTGCCTCCCTCGAGTTTTGCCGACCGCCACGGGGTTGATGGCTTCCAGGTGGGAAGGGTTCGGCAACAGGATGACGTGAATCGGGCGGTGAGACCCGAAGTCCAGCTCCACCGAGGCCGTGAGGTGGGAGAGGACGTCCCCAATGGCAGCGGAGTCCTCCGGAAATTCGCTCAAGCCTTGCATCTTACGAAACATCAGCTTTGGGAGGGAAAGCAAGAAGAGAATGGCGGGTGACTCACCTCCGCGGTTTTTGAATAATGAGAAATTTTCTTTGGGGGCTACCAGATTCTGCAACGGCTTTGGCCGTCCGTCTGGTAAACACGCAAGATTCGTTTTTTCTCGCCATCTACATGGATGCATCCGGACTAGACAGTGTTGTTTCTCTGTGTCATAGAATATAGGGTGGGCGTATGCATCGTTTTGTATGTATTTATTCATTTTGTCATGATTATGTGGTGTGCATTGGAGGTGGTGACCCTTTGACAGCTGCATGCAAAGAATTTTTGTTTTAATGTACGCTAATTAGCGTACATTGAAAGTGACAATAAAGTTATTATTCTGTTCTGTTCTGCTCTGTTCCATTCCCTCTTCTCTTCTCTTCTCTTTTCCCTTCCCTTCCCTTCCATTTATTCTATTCTATTCTATTCTATTCTATTCTATTCTATTCTATTCTATTTCTTCTCTTCTCTTTTTCCCCTCCCTTATTCTATCCTATCTTATCTATCCTATCCTCTATATTCCATATTCCACTCCATTTTCCGTTGTGGCCCAGCAGGAGCCGTTGGAGTTACCACCAGACTCCCACAGCGAGGGGCCCTCTAAGTCGGCTCTGGAGGATCCTGGACAGGATTCCGACTCCGAGCAGGGCGCAGAGAGGCTGGTTGGCCACCAGGTGGCGCCTGAGCCTTGGACCAGTGGGGGAGGAGACAAGGGAGAGTGAGCCGGAAGCCAGCAGTGAGTTGTTCCT